TTCTAAACGGCCTTTTAGATGGTTGTTGTTGAAACAGTAACGGCGTTATATTCTGGTGAAGATGAGAGTCATTGTTTAATGTTTACGGTGATGGTTTCAATTACTGTCAATGGTAAAAAAGTGGATGGTCCAATAATATTCTGACACGGTCGATTCCTTTTAGCTAGTGCCATTCAAGACCGATTCTTGCGATATAATTTGCATTTAACATTTTCAATAGATTCTAGACAGAAAAAAGCTTTAAACATTTTGCTAAACTTGTTAATATCATTTATTGAAATTTAGGTGTTATAAAATTTTAATTATTACAATGTTTCCTTGACAAAAAGTAAAATAAAAAACAAGACGAACATACTAATTTTGAAGAAAAACATTATCAAATACATTAAATTATCGTAACCAAAATTTTTCAATAAAGATTTCAGTAATTGCGGCATAGAAATTCTCTTCCAATGCACATCGGACGGTCGTGAAATAGAGCACCATGCACACTGTACTTATGTCTTTTCAGCGTTGGCAGGTGAAACATGGGCCATCCGAGAAGCCCTTGTACAAGCAATTGATCAAGAGTTTGAGGATTTCTAGGTGCTATTGGATTCATTATCACTCATCAACCTCATCAACTCTCATGAAACACACACAGAAGTTTTTTCCATGTTCACGATATTCGCCTCTTGGCGTTATCCTTTTCTTCAATTTCATTTTGGTTTAATCCTCGTTAGTCCAATAATTTGGCAGACTTGTTAGCTACACAAGCTCTTCTTGCTTAGTCAAACTTTTGATTGCTTCTTTAAAATAAAACTACATTTTGACCAAAAAAAGATTTATTTTAAATAAGCCATTTATGCATAAGTTTGAATTCAGTTTTGCCATTTGAACTTTTGTCTACATGCGTTTTAATTAGTTAAAACGATTAGAAAGGACTATTAAGATTAAAATCTTTCTTAACAATACAAATGTTTTCTCTAGCTAGAGTATAACTGTTAGTCTGTGTTTTAGGAATCCCTAGTAATTAAACTTTGTTTCTAATTAGTGTTTTTCTTAAATAATGAAAAAGGAATTGGAAATCAGTTGGATTGTGGTGGGGACAAATTACGCAGCGTCGCAACATATGTAACGTGGAATTATGGTTCGTACAACTTCACGTACATATAATCCACTAACACTGACGTAATTTCTTTGGACTTTGCCTTCGTTAAGGGTTTCGTTTTTTGGGTCCCACAATCCTACCTCAATTTTTATAACTAATCCTAGTTACTTCGTTAAGGGTTTCGTTTTTTGTAAAGACACTCAAAAGTTTTACCAAAACTGGAATATTTGTTTTTTTTTTTTATGCTCAAAACTGAGCCTCTCATTTTTTAAGTAACCAGAAAAGG